AAGCAGTAATTATTGGGCTTTCTTGGTTTAAGGATTCTTCTTTATAAAGCTTAAATTGCTCTGTCAGCATTTACTACTGTTTGTTTTGGTTTACATGTAACATTTAAATTACTTAACATGTAACTGTCAGTAACGTTACAACACTGGAAAGAAATGACGCAGCTAATGTGGCAGTATTTATTTAACACTTGAAAACATACCTCTAGCTCTATTCGTAGAATGATTTATATGCCAAAGCCGTATCATGAACACAGAAAAGTGATATTTGTATTGGGTATTTGTTTCAGCAAGAGGGGCTGAGGCTGATAGAGCAGGCACTGAGCCAGAGAAAAGATGACACCCCCCCTTTTTTTGTTTTTTATTTTCTTAATCTACAGCGATGCTCATGTCAGTTGGTAAAGAGCGTGTGAGTGATAGAATAGATTTCCAACTTAAAAGCTTTATTACCCCCCCCCACCCCACCCCGCACCACTTTAATTCTCTCTCCTTGTTGTCTTTTTGAAAAGGAGCAGAAGAAAAATGAAAGTGTAAAAAGGGACGACTGAAAGATTTCTGCCAAAAATGTAACGTGAAATTAAAGCTGCAGACAGCCGCCACCAGCATTAGCTGGTTAAGTATCAGCAGCAGAGACGGGGTAATGAATGTAGAAGGGGAGACATATGAAATGTCATTAATGTTAATTCTAATCACTTTTTGGCTATTAAGCACAAATTAGTGAAGGCGATGTTAAATGTCATGGTCTGTCCTGGGATTCATATACCAGAGGTTGGGGGCCACAGAATAGGTTCTCATTTACATACTTAAGATCCAACTTAATTCTCACAAGGGGTGATGGAAGATGAAGCCGAGCCATAAACCAATAACAATGACACACGGGCTCAAGAAAAACACAAACGTTTTCTGGCCGCTGATTCTTCACTGTTCATCCTCAAGGTTATTTTCTTGAGCTCGTCATTGAGCGTCATTCCTTTGAATTATTCCGCTCAGGCTTTTCCTCCCTCTGGCTCTAAGGTTTGTGCTATTTAAGACCAATCATGTCAATGTGGAAAAGAATTAATACTGCGCAAAAGTGTATTACATGACCAGAATTTGTTAACATCTCCCTGATTCTGTCTCTGGATATAGACATTAGTTTGGTGGAACAGGAGATTTCTGAAGTAAATAAGCATGCGGGTTAGATCTCCAGAAGAGTTCGTTGCCAAGTTCTCACTTATGTACTTACAAGAGCTTGTTTTCATGTAGGTATTCTGTATCTGTCAAGTTCTCAAATCCTGAAAGACAATAAAGGCAGAGAATAATGCAGCATTTTAAAAGCAAAGTTGAGCTAAAGCTCCACAAAAACCATGCCATGAAATTCATTGTGATAGATAAATTAACCTCAGTGCACCGTGGAGGCCTCTGCACTGTTAACTACATTGTTCTAATGCAACCTACGGTCTTTGGGAATATCCTGTTTTGCTCCTCTCTCTTTCTATCCTCTGTGGCTAAGTTGACTGTGGGAGAGTAAATAACATCTGATATGCATAAACAGCCCCTTCCTATTCATTACTGTCAGAGCGTTGGAGTACAGGAGGCGGAGGTCAGCATGTGAAGGTCCTCCTCAGGCAGGAGAAACGCCTGTGGTAGCTGTCACTCCTCTACTCCCTCCCCACCACCACCACTGCTCAACCGTCAGCCACCTCCCTCCACCACCTCCTCCTCTATCGTTCTCTTGCTCCCCCTCCCTCACTCGCTCTCCTATTAGCACAGGCTCCGGGTCATAACCTTTTCATGGCATTTTGTGATTCCACAACCCTTTGATTAGTGCAATATTTACATATTTCACAGTGGAGAGGGCGTTCTTGTGTCGCAGACACTTGAAGTGTTGTAAATGCGTTTGGCCTTTTGCCTGGGAAATGCGGAGGAGTCAGACTCTCTGGTGGTAACTGTAGTCAAGGCTGCTGTGCTGATATGCGCCATTGTGTGCTTTAAGTATATTTACCTTTCTACCGCCCATACCGCCGCTGCCATTTTACATATACAAGTGCCACCTTGTCCTTCTGAGGAAGTCCATTTAGCAGCTATTAGAGAGGGATAGTGCTCCCTGGTGGTAGATATAGATCATGCCCTCTGACTTGGACGAGGCACAGCAGAGCTACAGTCACATGCAAAGAGGAAAAAGAGAAATCTGCACGTGAGGGATCACTATTCTCACATGCAGCAAGAGATACCACAGAGACAAGGATGAAAGGCAAGTCTCAGACACACTGTGCAAAATGTATTATAACAAGGGTTAGAAACACACCATCTACTAACATGACTGTGTGCTGTTCAGATTATTCTGGTTAAAGTTCTTGTTTGTAGAAAAGTGAAAGAATCCTGGTGAAAACATCTGAAGTTCTGGGTCTCAGAAATTTCTGTGATTAAAACACTTAAACAAAAACAGCAAAAATACAACAAATTGTTGGCCGCAATGAGTATCAATCTAAAAATCCTGCCTCAAAGACCTGTATCGGTTTAAACCAAGATGCAACTTCACCTAAATAAACAATAAACATGCATTAATTAAAAAAGAAAGAAAAAAACTTATTTTCTGTCTGTGGGAAAAAGTAGTTACACCTCTGTAACAGCAAAGACTATCAAAGAGAACAACGGCAGCTTTATTTTACAACACATAAAGATGTGAAATAAAAAAGCACATTATACTGTGTTCTCCAGCGCACCTATCCATCAAATATAAGTCAGCCTGATGCTCTGCATATTTCCTGCCTCAGTCAGTCATTCAGTCAGTCAGTCACTTTCTCTCTGCGGTGTGACAGAAAGAAGAGATGTCAGCGAACAGGTTTTTCAGGGAGCTCAGGGCTGTCACGTCTGCCTTCGCGGTGACTGATGGGGTTGGACCTGCCTGGCATTAACGTTATGTGCCATGTTCTCAGAGGGAACCTGTCATTCAGCCGTCACTCAAACCGACAGACAGATGGTGCACATAGACACCGAACATGAAAGAGACTGGCAAAGTAGCAACAAATCCCTAGGTGGTCCCTTGTAGTTGAAGGGTGACGGTTTCTCATCACCGCTGCTTGGCAGCTCAACTTCAACCGCATGGCCACACATGGACATCAAGGTGCCAACGGGCCCGAGCAAACATCAAAGTCGCTATCCATCAAACATGTCACATGCTATGAAAGGGAACAGCTTGCAGTAAGGCTTGGGTCTGATCTGCTGTCACCTCATTTTTATAAATCATGACCACTTTTGCTTTCTTCTCTAGGTAATGGAGATTATCAGCGGAGCGCAGTCAGAGCCAGAAGGCGCAAATTGGACTTGCTTGGAGTTGCTGGACTTTTTAAGAAGCAGGTTTGTTTTATTAAGTGTATGCCTTGTGTAATTGGCAGTAGAGTTGCCTGGGATAAACAATGAGTAACATTCAACTAGTTTTTTGAAGTTGTAGACTGTGTGTACAACGTAAAATACCAAGAGAAAAGCATTTTATATTCTAAGGTGGAAAAAATTCCAAGGGATAATTTACAATAAGCAATAATAAGGCACAAAACCCCCAGATACGACAATTCCTTTAGAGTGTGCATGACATCCCAAATTATAGGCACTTTAAATCACACCAGCTATGCCTAGTTATGTTGGCTGCATGTGAAGACTCAGGTTAAAAAATGTATGTACTGGAAAAACTACACCTGAAATTCTTAAGCACAGCTAAATGACAGTTCTTAATAATATATGAGGAGATGGGAAGACAACCACACCGTGTTTCAGTTAAAACAAGAAATTTAAGCTTTGAGTAGGAGGCTGCTAGAAAGTAAAGAAACTCAAGAGGGTAATGTTTGACTATTAACTTGTCCAACCCTGTAGTATAGCTTCATGTCACCATGGATCTTGCAGGTTAAACAGGAATTAGGTGACAGCCTTTTCTTACTTCACATGAAAATTGAAAGTGATTGCTGGGGTTTTCATACAAAGACGTGTTTTTTACTTTCATTTTAAACAAAAATCAAAACAGAAGTATAAAAAACCAAAATTACAGGCAAGGTACGTGCAACTTCATTAGCAACACATCACCGCATCCCATTTTGTTTGAGTGTAAGTATTGGTGATAAAAGAGGACGTATTTGCCAAAGCACTACTTAAATCACCCATCTGTGTTTAAATTGACTCAGATCAGCTGAAAGCCATATGTAAATGAGCTGCTCTTGTGAAGAATATTCAACCTTTGTTAGAGTAATTTTTGTTGCACTTAATTCCTGTCGAGTGCTAAAGTTTTGTCGTGACTGTATTGTGTATTTTGGTTGCACTCCATACCATGTAACCTCAAATTTGAGTCTGACTGTGTTAACTTTTCGAGCTTCCAGTTCACCTGGCCTGCATGTTTGGTCTGTGAGGAAACACTCAGAAGAAACCTTGATATACATGGGGTGAACACATAAAGTCCACATGTACAGGCCCCCTGTTGCTTTGAACATGGGACCGCTTGGCAACATTAGGGTAAAATCACAACAGTTTTTAAGATTCATGTATAACTTAAATTGTAAAGCAGATATTTTGTGCCTTCTTTTCTCAGGCAACCTTCTCCTCTTCTGTTCTCTAACATCAAACAGCACAATGAGGACTTTTCTCCATTTAAATACGCCAAATGACAGAAGAGCTTTAAATTTCAACGCCTTTCAGGAAGAATGAAGCGTTGTCGCAATGGGCTGTAAGGATACCAGCACTTTCCACCACCTCTGTATGTGGATCAGACTGACTGACCTTGTTCAATATTGACAATTCAGCAGAAGGCCAAAATAATGGCAGACATTAAGACTTTTTCACCTGCACATACCTTTAATAGTTCATCTGGATTGGCTGCATCTTTTTTGACAAGATGGTGAAATATTAGAGTTCTCTATTTAAGATCATGTTTGATACACCAGTGTAGCTGGTGTGCATGGCCCTGACAATAACTAATGGCCAAGAATAAGCTGTATGAGAGACACAAAAGACTACCCTTAATCCTCTCAATATCCACAGAGAAGGCACTGCACCTCACATCAGCAGTACGAGTAACAAAGACAACTAACAACTACAAACTGTGAATATGTAAGCTTTTTCATCTAAACTTGGACATGTTGAGTCACAGCAGCTGAGGAAAATTTAACACAAACAAGCAAAACCAGATGAAACAGCATCAACAGGTGCCATTTTTTGTGTCTTTATTGTGGACATGACATTACATCTTTTTGAAATGATGTACAAAAGTGTAACAGAACTGAGAATGGCTCAGACGAGGTAGAGCTTTCACATTGGCTTGCTGGCTTGAAAACTACACAGTATAAAAACAAAAACAACACAGAAAAAGCTAATTAAAACAAACGCTGCTGTCTGCCTCTGTCCTCTCATGCTTTTTGAAGTGATAATAAATATAGATATCAACCAAATACATTTGTAATAATAATGTTTTCTAAGGTAAATTAATCATGAAGCTCATAACAAATAAAAAAAGCAATACAGACACAAATAATACAACTTAAGAACCATGATAAAACCCAACCAAAGAGAAAAGAACAGCACATGCCAGCCCCTCTGGGAGCGCAGCCATGACTAGCTACTGAACAAATCTTATGGTTTAGCAAAGAGAGCGACTAAAAACACACTCTAAAATAAGCACTGCTGCACCTAGCATTATCAAACTTCCCATGAGGAAATGTAGCTAAAAAGCTGTGCCACATAGTCGTCACAGAACAAATCACTTTTCATTAAAACGTATGGAATCATCCTAACAAACAAACAATGAAAGGAAAAAAGCCTCTAAACCAGAGATTACACTGGATCGTGTTAGCCGGCACCATTAAAAAGACATTCTCAAAGAAACCTTACCTTAGCTAAAACTGGACAAAATGAGAGAGGTTAAAGCAGTAACCTAGTCTAAGTGCACTAGTAATGCCATTTGGTTTCTACTGCTGTATATAAAGGGTTTGGTGGATTACAGTTATGCAGTTTACATTACATACACTCGCTCTTGCTTCATAGATGTTCTAAGTCACACTTCGGAGTACAAAGTCATAACTGAGGAATTAATCTTAAAGGGAATTCTGTACAACATTGGTATTAGTACTACACTACCTCGAAGGCTAGAGTATCTGTTTCAAGTATTTTCACTACCCATACCTTCAATATACACGTGTGTATTATTAGGCATATTCAAGCACACAATATTGTATGCATATCTAAATGAGCCACTGGCATAGCAACCACTTCATCATGTAAAAACTACTTAGGTCTAAAAATAGACGGAAAGTACAGTACTCTATGCTCTGTAATTTGTAACTAATCTGTGTGAAATTTGATTTAATGTGTAGAAAAATGTCTCTGCAAATCAACAGTTCTGCTCTCGCTCTTTCAGTTGGAGCCACTTTGAACTGCCTTTCATTCCTCTTTCTTTTCCCCAGTGTCTCAAGACATGGCTTATTCAATCACGAGGATAACTGAGAAAAGAAAATGAAGCACAGGACAACAGAAAGCATTTCATCCTAGCGAAGAACAGTTCTAAGCTTATACCAGCCAACAGACTTAAAGTAGGCTTTCACTACAGAGGAGGTAGGCTAGTATATAGAGCTTCTAAAGGGAGGCTGTAGTAGACAAAGTAGTCATCCTCTTGTATGCTATAAAGAGGCTTAAAAAATGCACACATGCACACTCTCACACACACCTGTGTTAAGGCTGTGATGGTTCTACAACTTAAAAAGGCTTCAACATATCTCCTCCTCGTGTTTTTTATCCCTGAACTCTCTGAAAGCCTGACCTCCTGACCTCTGGCTGCTCTCTCCATCTGACCTCCTCACTCTGTCCTCCTAGCAAATCTTAACATCACCATTCAAGAAATTTGATTGACAGCATAGATGCTTGACTCATTAGTCTGCTTAAATGTTTTTGTAACAAAATAATCTCTGCGTTAGCTGTTTCTTTGTTTTATTTTGACCTAGATGTCTATTTTACTCAAAAGCTGAAAGACATATTTCAACATTTTTGGAAATACATGTATGCATTTTGTTAAAGAATATCAGATGCAAGATCAATACCACCTTCATACCTGTACAGCGTATATGAAGCAGCCATTTAGCTTGACTTAGCACAAAGACTGCAAACACCGAAACGTTTCATGCATCTGTATTGCGACCCCAGTGGAGCACTGACCCCTTAGGTTGGGAGGTGCCATGGTAAGGCATTGCGTGCTTCTGACAGCCTCTCTACCAGAAAGACTGAGATGACTTTGGTACCCAAACATTCATCTCACAATAGGTTTGGAAACTGCCAAACAGTCAGAGTTGCCCTTTAGCAAAGCAAAATTATGATACATCATTGCTGGCTAACGCTAGCAGTACCGATTTCTGCTTTGCAAATACACATGCTGTATATTCTGCACAGTCCACACTGGGCTAATATTCTCCTGCCACCTCCACAGTTTTGAAGTCAATCTAATTCAAAGTCAGAGGTGTCTGTGTTGGAAACACTTTCTAATATGAAGGTGCTACGAAGGAAAACTACTTCCACTCAGTCCCCTCCTCTTATAAACTGACAATAAGTGAATGGCCATAAAAATTGTGCACTCATTTATATTGGCTATTAAAAATGCACTCTTTTTAATGAGCGCTAAAGCAGACACCCCCATTAGCGTTCTCTCTCTCTATTTAACCCTACCTACCTCCAGCAGTCTCTCTCTCTCTCTCTCTCTCTCCTTCTAATCATCAGCTACACACCCTCAGAGCGGTCGCCGCACTCCTAGCATTGCACTCGGGAGTGAAGGAAAGTGAGTTTAACACAAGTGTTCACACAGACATATACACACACACACACACGGATGCAAGTCTTCATCTTCATGACTTAGATCTCAGAGGTGACAAACTTGCGATGTTTCAGTTGACGGTTGGTGAACTGGAGGTGCATCGTCTCTTAATCTCTTAGATGATTGGTGTCCTGAGGAACGCACAACTGATACAGAAAAGCCAGAAGGGGTGGGGTGGGGGCAACTACAGTAGCCATGCAATGCCACATTCCTTGATTAAAATGCAGCTGCATTCAAGTTCAGTTTCTCCTCTTCTTTACATAAAAACAGAGCATTTACTTGCCAGTACCTCCAAATTGGCAGCGAGAGGTAACTCTTCAATTCAGAGAGCATCTATATTCAGAAATGCTATAAGATGATGTAAACTACTCACAAGTTTGCTAAACTTCAAAATAAAGGAGGCCAAGAGATGCACAAGGATGAACACTGGTGAGTCGAGCATTTCACAGTTCAGCTCCTCTGTGTGGAGAAAAATGCACACCTGAATTTCAAACTGCAGAATTTCACTGTGAATTCTTTCCTTTAGGAGATAAGACACTCTTCATCTATGGCCCCATTCTGTGATTTTACAACTGCTTCACAGCAATTTAACTTGCTTCTTTATAGAAAAAAAAAACTATCAAAAACTACAATAACCTTCATTTACTGTAGAAAATTATTTTGCGGTTATTAGTCAGTCATTAGTCTTGGGTCCTGCACCCCGGTGACATGCTATCAGGTTGACTTATCTGGTCCCAAGTCCCAGTCCTGGTCTATTTACTGCTGTTGTGGTGTTTTTGGTGGATGTTTGACAGCCAGCTCTCCTTGTACCTCCTGGCCCAGTAACAAGCTCCTTGTGTCTGGGTACTGGCTGTTGTCAAAAGGCATATGGTGGACACTCTGCACATGCGTCTTTAGGTTCCCTTTCTGAGAGGCCCGGTATGGGCAGAGCTGGCAGCAGAATGGCCTCTCCCCTGCGGAACACACACACAAAACGACACCTTAAGTTGAAAGGTCGGGTACACACACCAGACTATATCATGCATATCATCTGGAACGACAAGATGTATGAAGGTTTTTGGAATGAATATACAGGAAGGCACAGTGATGTAAACCAAGGATGAGACTTGCTGCAGTGAAAAGAGGGAACAGAAACAAGCAAACACACAGGCAAACGTAAACCAAGACACATGATGGCATTCAACTAGAAGCATGAAGACATTATGCAGGTCAAGAGCAGCTTTCACATTTGATTTAATTTCCAGCTAATTTCACTTAAAAAGTTTACTTTGCTTTTTTGTCCTGACCCAGATGGACTTGCTCTTCTTTTTGCTTTCCTGCCATCTGGAGAAGAGCGCCACACATCCTGCGTCTAGACAGTCCTACTTTTCTCTCTGTGCACTTCTCTCAATCACCCAGGTCACCCCCCACCCCCCACCCCCCACACACACTCAAACACACTCCACATATACCTTATCTCTATTCTAATTAGACTGACCTACAATGGCACAGACACTTCAGCAAATAAATAAATAAATAAATAAAAATGAAATAAAATAATAAAAAAAACTAAGCAACACACACCTGAACAAAACAAATGAGATTGCCATTTAATTGCACCTAATTATCATTTTGATAAATGGAAGAATATCAAAGCGGGAAAACAAATGACTCCCCATGCCCCTCCCGCACCCTTCTCCCTGAAGAAGGAACAGGGAAATATAGCTGTTATCATACATCATCAGAAACACAACAGAGAGAAAGAAAGAAGGGGGTGGGGGTGAGAAAGAAAAGGAGGGAGATAAAAACAATAAAGGTATAATTAATCACACAAAAATCTAAAAAAAAAAGCTGGAAAGACAGAGAGGGTGAAGCGTGAGAGGAAAGTGAGAACCTCCACGACATCGTCCTGCGAGGAAACATCGCTGACGGGACCGGTGCACTACATTATACTAAAGGTTATCGTCACCGTAAAGCAGCGTCAACACTACATCTAATTGGACCCCTCTGCTGTACTTGCTCCCATCATTCATGGTGTGTGGTAAATCTGAGTCTGTGGGTGTGAAGAGTGCGATTAATTAAGATGGAGGCGCAGCGTGTAGAACCCAGCTCTCTCCCTGTGTCGAAGCAGAACAGAGCTGCTCCTGTCTTAGTGCTTGTCTCCAGAACTGACTCAAAAACCTCTGGAGGAATGTTTCTGCAATGTGTTAAGTTTGTTAAGTGTTAAGTGGGTTAAGTCCTCTTTAATCCTTAATATTTTTTATTGTCTTCATTTTGACTGAAATGTACAAATATTTTCATTATCAGTTCATCTGTGGATTATTTCCTCAATCCAACTCTTGATTTGCAAAATCAAAAAAAAAAAAAAAAAAAACTGTCAGTAAAGCCTATCGCAATTTCCTAAACCACAACGTGATGTCTTGTTGCTGACCAACAATCCAAAAAACATCTTTAAGAAGCTATGATATAAAAGAAAAAACAATAAAACCTCATATTTGAAAAGCCTGAATCAGTAAACGTTTGGCATATTTTGCTTGAAAAGTGATCCTAATCGATGAATCAGCACATAGCTGGAGCTCTAGTCTCCATCCTAGATTCTAGGCACTCACTGACCTGCTCCTTTTACCCACGCTTCCTAGGAATGACTATTTATTTGTCAACAAAGTTTTGAATTCTTTTGACGGCACTCTTTTGCATGCATCTTTACCTTGTGTACAGAAATCTTTACCTACATGTCAAAGTGCCAAGTGACATCTGAAATTTAACGAGCTGGTGAAGTTGCTGCTGAAAAGCAGAACTTTGCTTTATTTGATTTTTATTTATTTAGTTTCTTTGCAGTAATGTGAGTGAATTGCAGCAAACACTGAAACAAATTGTTGACTGTAGCTTGCACTACATTGCTGCTGTAAATGTCTGCAGATATAGTCACTCGATGTCATCATATATCAGTACTGGCAGTGTTCAGTGAACAACTACAGCAGGTGCTTCTGGCTTTATCCAGTAAGGTTTTGGGGGAAATTTACAAGTGTTACAATGTTTTTTTTTTCAATTAATAAAAGAATCCTTCAAGTGTAACTAAAACATGATAATCACAAAAACTGAAGCTTCTCAGTGACACAACTGTGACATGTATGCTGAATACCCATACTGATGTTAGATGTGATGCAGTAAAAACACAAAAACCCTGAGGTGTTTATGCCAGGTGCAGAGGGCGCTACATGTGACTTTTACACATAAAAAAAAAACCCTTAACATGATAGGAGGTGCGGGACTGACACAGACACACACATGCAGAGGTGAGACAGTGATTATAAGAAACATGCAGAAGCCCAGTGATTAGCCATCGTGCCACATACTTGTTTGGGAGCTTCAGAAGCGGTGGTGTGAGCGTCAGTACCTCTGTGAAGTCCGTTAAAATCAAACCCAACTGTGGGGGGAGAAGGAGGGCAAGGCAGAGGGAAGGGGAGGAAGAGGAGGAGGAGGATGGGGTGGGGAGGAGGGGAGGAGGAGGGCAATCGGTTAAATGCTCTGCCAGATCCACACAAGAACTTTTCTTTTCTCTTCCACCACCACCACCCACACACAGTGGCATTTGCCACTAGCACCCTTACTAAGTAAGGGGGGGCTGGCTCCGATGATGACGGTGATGATGATGGTGATGATGGTGATGGAACCTGGTGGAGGCAAGTCGGTGATTTAATATGACGCATGTTAATAGAGGCCTCGGGGTGGCTGGCCTTTTCTGTGTGTGCACGTCCATGCTGTAGACAACCGTCAGTGACAACACTAATTACAGCATCGGCAAGTGTTTACAGAGCCTATGCACGGCCATGTGTGTGTGTGCATCCATACACTGTGTGTGTATGTGTGTGCTTACAACAGGGCTTGGGGGGAGCTGAGCACTGCATCACTTACCAGTTGGCCTCTGTCACTTAGCATCACTGGCAATGCCACATATCATTCACACTCTCTATAAAGAAGCTACTTAACTCACTGTCTACCGTGATCACTGCTGGTCGAGTTGATGGACATGACAGGAGAGGGGAGAGGAGGAGGACGATGGAGGGAGAAGTGAGGAAGGAGGAAAGCAACAGCCGAGGAGAGGAAATAAAGGGAGAGGAGTAGGAAAGTAAAACAACAACAACAGGGAGAAGGAAAAGAAAGAGGAGAGCTGAGGTGAGATGAGAGGAAACAACAGGAAAGGACAGACGAAGATGAGGAGGGAAAGGAATGAGGAAGAGGCAAGGAGAAAAGGGTGAAATTGGAAGAAAAAAGGATCAGCACAGGGGAAAATATGAGATAAGAGGAAAGAAAATAGGCAAGGAAAGGACCAGAAATGAAATAACATGAACAGCCACATTCACTGGTGAGAAAGGAAGGAAAGGATAGGACAGTCAGGAAAGGAAACAAAAGGGGACAGAGACAATAAAAAGGCAAGATGTCTAAATCAAGCTGTTTAGTGAATGGCATCAAGATGCATGGAAATGGATTCACAAGGCTGGCATGGACAAATGCTGTTCTGCTTCATTAGAATGCGCAATCCCGTCTCTCTAATTGACATGTGATTAATAATGTATACAATTTGTCACAGGTCAGTATCCGAAGCAAATCATCCTTCAGTTTAAAAAATAGAGACAGCTGCCCAGCCCAGGGCGAGGAAGCACTCGCAGACTGGCTGTCACACTCAGCTGAACAAAAAGATGTGTTCTGATTTATTTTGGAAGATGCCGGAACATAGCAGACGTATGGAGAGTCAGACGATGAAATATGGTTGAGAATGTGAAACCCCATGCATATATTTTCTACATCTCATGTGAGCATTCCTGGGTGGATAAATAGCAGCCAGGGTGATGATGTGTGTGCACAGGTGGCACAGGAATTAGTGACTGTTGAAAGAGTGGCCAAAAAATGGGAACATCTACTAATACATAAATAACAAGTAGGACAGCTGTGATAAAAGCGGGACGGTGGACTTGCCTTACATACAGCACGCTAACCTGTCTACCACTAAGCTGAGCTCATTTGTCTATGTTTGTCGAGCCTTTTGCTTTTGTTACTGATGATCTTGCGAGTCATTACGATCCATTTTTTCTTCAAAAACTCCTTCAGTTTCTGAGTAGAACTTTGAGAATTCATATTAAAGAACAGACTGTTAATGAATCTGGCGTTTCTGTTTGTCTAGCCACTAGATTCACACGTACATGTGCAGTCTATCTGTTTTAATGCTTACCTGTATGGGATCTCATGTGAGTGCGCAGGTGGCTGGGCTGACTGAAACTCTTCCCACACTCGTGACAGAAATACTGCCCCTGTCGCATGAGAGACCTCAGCATCCCTGGTCACACACACACACACACACACACACACACACAAACACAGAGAGGAAGACACAGTTAAACAAAGTTCAGAGGAGCAAACAAAAGGCAAAAGGTTCAACTGAGGTTCTTCATATCACAGTGGTCAGATGCACTATGAGCAAATTTGTGATAGACAGTACGAGAACTTATTCAGTGAGTGAGTGCAAAATCCACCATAGTGCATATTTACTGGCTCTGTATTGTCCTGTATTTTGGTTTATATCAGACTATATGGTGCCCACATTTGGGGCAGGAAAACAAACAGCTGCATCCACGTCATGTGTACTAGTTTCTCCTAACATTCCCACAATGCAAAATGCACTTTATTTAAGTGAAAATAATTATTGTGTGACCGAACAACACAAAATGATTCATCAGTCTACTCACTGGATTTACTCCTTACTATATAATAACCTGTTGTTAGACCATGCAAAATTCAAAGCACGTCTTTCTTCTTCTACCTGTTTTTATCTCGGCAGGTAATGTTTTGCTAAATTTGGTCTCAATCAGATGTTGTGTGCTATTAGCCAGTCAGTTGAACAAAGGTGAATTCAAAACAACAAACCCCTTTAGGAAACATACTCTGTATGCTCTAATTTCAGGTTGTAGTGCAATCAACCATCTTGTTTTTTCAAATGAAATAGTCAATTTCATATAACAAAAATCTAAATAAAATAAACACTATTAAAAATTTCAACAAACAATTTAAAAGATAAGAAAAGTTTACTTGTTAACATACAAAGGCAAATGTGTCCTAAAATCACAAGTGCCTTTGAATTTCATTTGAGACATCACACTGTGTATGTGACTTTTCCTGTTAAGAGTGCTGGAAAAGCATTAGCATCAGTTCACTTCATTCCAAAGCAGCAGACATTTTCATGTGGCAGTGTTTGCAAAGACTGAATGAAGACGTAAAGGTCAGTAACGGGCAGAGAACGTGTGGGTGTACACAAGCATGGAGCCTGGTTGGAGCGGTGGAGGTAGGTGGCGTCAGTAGTGGACCCGCACAGGCATCATTAGTATGTCTAATGTGTCATTATGAGCGGCTAGCTCCAGGGGCTGGACTGCAGCTGTCACACAGCATCATCTCAGAGGCTGACAGCCAGACACACACCGCATAAATTACAGGTAATTAAACGCCCTGGCTGTGATGTGCCCACTCCGCTGCCCGTGTGTCACATGTCAGGTGTGTGTGTCTCCATGCCTAGGTGTTTCAGAAGTTTTAATATAGGTGTGTTTGGTCCGAGGAAGTGAGGCATGGGCTGTGGTGTACAGCGGTGTGGTGTACACACACACACACACACGCTGAAACACTCACATTACATACACAAGTAACCTTTATATGTTAATGGACTTAAATGGCAAAAAGAAGCAACCTGTTGAATTTTTGATCCTGTCACAACATAACAGGACTAAATGTACAATCAGGCTCGTTTTTCCTGAAGTCACATTTTTTACTGAGGTGGTGGCAAAGTTCAGCCATTGTTGATGAGTCCAGTGTACACATTCGACATGACAACTCAATTTGGACAAACAGGTTGAATCTAGATTACCTCAATCTTGTGTTGCCTGAAAGGAACTGGGTAAGTCATGAACAATGGAGTCATGTAAGTTTAAAACCTCCATGCATTAACTGTTTTGTGACACCTTTGCGACACAGTCTGTACTGCTATTATACAAATCCTATAAAGAGCATGATTGTGTTACTTGCAGGTAAACAAGGGCTAACTTTTACAGATGTTTTAATGCTACAAAGGTTTTGCTTTGAGACTAATTTTAAAACCAAGAAGAACGCTTGGCTAAGTGAACACAGTTAATCAGAGCTCTGAAACTATAATGAGACCACTATAAGAAAAATGTCACAAGGAGCTTAATTGTTTAGGGACATGAAGCCCAACAGTGTTTGATAAAAATGACGGTATGCATATTGAGTGGCTAAAAGAACAGCGGCTCAGCGTAAAGAAACCTGTTGTTGCATGAGGAGGACAACTGGAACGACTATAAGACATTACATTTTTATCATTTAGATACCTATTTAATAAGGCCCTGGTGTGTATGTACACCAATGTAGCCAGTGGAACAGGAACCGCTGGGACAGCAACTGAAGGAATAAGCATTTAAAGATGGCACTGTGAGACCGCACACACTCACGTTCTCATGCACACATACACTTGTGTGACCTTCCTTGCTGACAGATAATGGGCCTGGAGGTTTGGTGAGGGGGACGCTTCCTACACAAACCCCCACCATACACATCAACACCCCAAGCACTAAGCCTGGCACATACCTGGGCAGTGCCCACTACTTGTGTATATGTTTGTGTGCATGTAGAAAGTGGGATAAGGTGGGGGCACAGCAGGACAAGGGAGGCAGGGGAGGTGACAGAGAGTGTCTCTGGCAGGCCGTCTGCTGGCCTCTGGATACTTTACTTCCACTCTGGGCCGCCAGCCCTTCTCAGTGATGCACTAATGAAAGACAAGACAGAGCTGGACAAAAAACACGAGCAGACACACACTCGTACACATATTACATAGAGAAAAGGGAGAAAGACACGCTTGCTCAAAAAAGGTCAGTTTATAGCATGTGACTCAAAGGGCTAAGGCAGATCATGACGATATGTGCCTGGACGTCTGACAGTGATGTCATGTGTCTGCTCTGGGGCTGTTGTCTTTGACCCCCCGCTCCATACAGCCCCACTTGACCTTAGAGACACAACAGAAAATGGGCAAATAATACTGATGTTTGGTAATGGCCATTTCCAAAGCAGCTGGTGGGGTAATTATTCTGTCTCATCTCTCTCTTTGTCTCTTATGTTCCCTCTCTCTCTGCTTTGCCTCCCTCTAGTTGCATCTGTGCGAGTCTCTTATCAGGCAGAGCCATGACCTAAACAGTTTGTGACAGCTTCCTGGGAGAGTGGAGCGGGAGACTAGACACGCCTCGCAGACCTGAGAGTAGCGAAGGTTCTCTCATGTCTTTCACACACGCACACATTTTGCATCTAAAAATCCTACACATGCACAAATAGACATGCTGCCCCAGACACGACCCTTTATCAACACACAAACACATATGATCTCATTTAATGGAGCAGTTTAAAAGCTGTTTCTGAAGATGCACATAATCATAACTTGCTTATACGGCATTTCACTGACTGTTTAGATTCATTATATTTTTAAATACTGTATGTTTATTAAATGGGACTGAGTATGATTTTTAAATGTATAATAGACATCTAAAAATGTAGTCATTTTAACCCTGATGCTTTCTCACCTGGAAATCATCAAAATCACTGGGTCAGATTATGAGGTCACAGTCAGAGGTCTATGAATAAATAAATAAATAAACTAAGACCAAGTAAACTTGTCTTATCTATTTGCTTTCCTCCGCTGTTGTCACCAACATTTTGTCCCCGCTAACTTACATCTGAATAAATACAGTATACTGAATAAATTAAGGTAGCATAGGACTTTACTGTCGATTCAGTTCATCCAGATCTGCTAAACAAATGAATAAATGCACTACACTGAATAAAAGGTAACAGTGTTTTGGCTCGGTTCTGCACCATAGCCTCTTTCACTTCTGCTGCTGTGTATTTTAAAAATAAATGTGCATCATGGCACACAAAAATTTCTAGTACCATGGCTCTGCTCTTTATTGACCTTTTGCCACGGTGAATGATAGTATCGGAGCTCCATTGATGATGGCTTTTTATAGTCGTCATGCACATGCTTAACTCCAGGGTTAACTCCAGAGTTTGTTAAATCTGCTGTCTGAAATACCTCCCAGATCAAAAACAAGATGCTCAATGTTTCTCTTCAACTCCTGACCTTTAGTATCTTTTTTTTTCAAAACCAAGATCCTTTGGGCAATTTGTAGGTGAGCTAATGATGAGCGACTTCACAGGAGTTCCCTCTAAGAAGCTTTAAAACATTTTAGAAAAAAATTAAAATAATTTGCATTGTAAATTCAAATCAGCCAAAAATGTTAATAAAATCTGCTTCCTACCAGTTGAATCCAGCAGGGCATTGGTTGCACCCCAGCAGTGGTAGAGGGCTGCCAGTTCATGTGGGCTGTGGCTTTTGAGGATGTTGACAATATCAGCTGGCATCTCCTGTGCCTTTGTGATTGGCTCTTTCTTCATATCTCCATGAGCCTCTGAGGGCAAAGAAGAAGAGGAAGAATTCTGCAGAGTGCCTCCGTGCGCTTGGGAGGTTCCATAACTGTGCCCTGCTGTGGAGCTATGGGTGATGGTGCTGGGCCTCATAGCGTTAGCCTGGCTCTGGCTGTGGGAATAGTGAAGCGATTGATGAGGAGTGCCCCTGGCTAGGCTGTATTCTGCTAGGCCATGCTTGCTGGACAACATGAAGCCCAGGCCCTCTTGAGGCATCAAATAGCGGTCTGCCATCCTGGAAGCAGAGCTGGGCTTTGGGGCTGAGAGACATGAGAGAGCAGCAGTGCTCTTCTCTAAGGAGCTGGAGGATGACAGCGAGCTTCCTCGAGGGTAAATATCAACTTTGGGCTTAAAGCGAGACTGATGACTCTGGTCCTCCGTGTGTCTTGCGCTGCCGCTGCTGGTGCTGCTGCCAGGCCGTACAGGGACTCTCCCAGCTTGGGTGCTTGAAGTGGATGATGATCCCCTGGAGAATGAGGAGGAGGCAGTAGAAGAGGAGGACGATGATGGTGTGGCTGCATTACTAGCTGGCCTGTTCTTCTTTAGAACCTCGCTGGAGTAGTTTGGGGGGCGTGTACGTTGGGTGCGTATCACTGAAGGCAGT